CTGAGGTCGGATTGTGGAAACCTGCACTCGGACGCCTGTGACATTTATGGGCTCAGCCGCCGTTCCCTTGGGCAGCGGGACGGCAAAAGCCTCGGAGGTCTCGGCTCTTGGGTCTAAAGCTGCTCTTGCGAAAAGAGATGGTGGTGACCACAGAAGCATCGCTTCCAAGAGTATGGCCAACATAGCGACGACTCTCTGCCAAGTTTCCCCGTCCCGCCACTCCAAGTTGGGGCTTTTGGGATTGGGACTCTATCATCTCATTACTCTCGCCTCGGACTGCATGGTCTAGAGTCTAGGCCTGAGCGCCTCGCCTTCCCCTCNNCCCCCCCCCCCCGCCGGGTTTGTGTGGCTGAGAGGGCTATAAGGTCTAAGAGTCTAATCTCATTCGAGGCCCGGAGCCTCCATAGGGTACAAGACAAGATGAGCTGAAAGCGATCGCTTTTGGAATCGACGCCTTTCTCCAAAGATGAGCTGCCAGTGTGTTCTGAAGGGGAGATATACCTGGGGAGGGACCGCAGCACCCTCCTCCAAGTGTACCACTTGCTCCCCCTTTGGGCGCTCCTGGCGTCTCCAGCCAGACGTGATAAGCCATCCCCTTCGGCCCTTCTCCTCTGCAGTTGCCATCGCTTCCTCTGAGGTCCTAAGCGGTCGGACGTCCCGGTGGCTGGCACGGATCAGGCTACAAATCTTAGAAGACTGAAACACAACGCCGTCCTCACGGCTCCCTGAAACAGATCGTAAAGCCTAACCCGAAAAGCAGCGGTGTGTTGCGGTGTATCCGCGGTTGAATGCGGTGGCGGCTGGCCGGGGCCGGGCCATGCCTGGCCCTGGGCCCCAGCGTCAGCTCAGGCGCGTCGAAGAAAGGACGAGAGGAAGGAAGAGCAAAGAAAGGGAAGCACATCCCCCGCCTCTCTTCGCAGCAGAGCAGAGAGAGAAGAGAGCCCCTTAGGGCGGCCTCCTCGTTCGCTTTGAAGGCCCGGCTTGGTTGCCGCTTGCTGAAGCCCCAAGGCTTCTCCAGACGAAAGCTCTAGCCAAACGGAGACTTAAAGTGGGCTAACTGAGCTTTTATCGGGTCCTGCGCAACGTGCGGTTGAAGGTGTGTGGTCTAGGATCCGCCCTTCTTCGCCCAGCACCAAGGGCTATGGGTGGATTGCCTGGTGGCATTGTGCCAGTTGCGTCTCTTCTAAGTGTCCGGTTGCCACCAGCTCCAGCCTCTCAAACCTCTTTCTGCACTCGCGCGGCCCGGTCGGCCCAGTTGCATGATACTTCACAGTGTCCACTTCTGACTCAGATTTTGGCACATTGAATCCAATCCTAGATGCTTGTTTTTCAAGCTTTCAACCCTGACCATGAGCCGTAAAACCTGGTGCAAAATCTTGCGCTGCCTTGCCACATTGGGAGCAGGCTCGAGGTAAGCAAGCCTAGAAATGTAAGGGTCCAAGTGCAACCAGCTTCCACCGAGCCTTAGCTCAGTCGGCCCAGTGGCTGGGAGTGGTGGGCAGTTTGCTATACGTTTGCTTGAGATGGGCCCATCGTCCCCAGTTGCACCTCACGCTTTCCACTTGCGCGTCTGAGGCAGCTGTCAAGGCCCGGCCCCTGCTGAGCCTTCGAAGCTAATGACCAGGACCCAGAGGCCTGGTGCAGACTTGCCACACAACCAGAGAAGCGATGAAAGCTTGCGAAGGCCTTGGCCTCAGTGCGGCTGTGCTAGCACCGGATGTGATGTGGGCTGGACGGACGGGGCCTAACGGCTTCCGGATGTTTAAGACGTGCTGGCCGCTTGGCCGGGTGCTCTTGGCCCAGCAGACAGCTCACGGGTAAATTTCCGCCGTTTCTGCCAAGCCAGTCCCGGCACTGTAAGGAAGCCAAGTGCCGCTTTCTTCGGTTTCGGCTTTGCAAGATGTTCCAGATTCCCGTGTACACTCCTAGCCCAGGGATCGGAGGGTTTTGGATCAGTGGGGTGTGAGCCAATTAATTGCCTAGGGGCCAGGGTTCGCGTCCAGAACAAGACGTTTGAAAAACGCTGGATCTCGAAGCACATCGAAGTAACTCACAAGTTCATGGGAGTTGATTTGGGGTGCCTAACTCCTTGTGCGTCGGCAAACGACATCTTGGCCAACACTTTGGAGAGAACCTATCCTCCCAGAGCATTTATCACACCCTGGCTGGTGCAGTGCAGGGCTGTAGGACGTGCATGTTCCAACTTTCCGGCTTCCACCGTAAAGTCCCCTGCTTTGGACGCTATGTTATGTTCGCTCATTTAATGCCACCAGGTACCTCGCACGATCATCCCGCACGTCCGTAGCGCAGCAAGCTTCCCGCAATTTGAGTCTAGTGTTGCACGCGCACGCCAGAGTTACGCCTCAATCATAATAGGGTCCCGAGGGAACCCTTCCAGGTGACCCCCAGAATGTCGTGCGTTAGATTCACATGGAAGTCACATGTCAGTTCAGAATGCAACAGGAGCTAGACCGTGCAAGACAGGATTGCCCACTTACATGCAAAATCATGCAAAGTGGGCTGTGTTGAATGATTTGAGCCGCAATGTTTTGCAGCTTCACACATCAGTGGTGCACAAGTCGTGGGTTGTTCTCCTGCGCACAGCTTACAGCGCGTCACATCTGAGCGTCGCTCCCCGATAGCTTCTTGAAGCGAGGTCAAGTCTCAACGTGGAATCAGTGCCTTTCTCCGGAGTCTCCGACTGTCCTGGATTTGTAGCAGAGCCGTAGGACCATAGGAGAGGATGCCCCTTGCATTTGGGACTAGGCAGCGACTTCGGAGCGGCCTCTGGCCCGGGCATCGGCTGTGCGAAGTGGCTTCGGTGCGTAGGTCCCGAGCTTTTCCTGCACCGCTCTTGCAGATCTCGACTTCTATCTGGACCCTCGGGCATGCACCACCACTGCCCGAATCATCCTGCGTCAGCTGCCACGTCAATCCGGATGCGTGCGGAGTGTTCCTCAGACTCAGCCGACTGGGCCGACTCAGCCAGCCGTTTTGCCACTTGGTACAGGTGGTCTTTCCGTGCTACCGTTTGTACGATAGGCTTCCATGTTTATACGTATTTGTAAGGATTGGGTTTGTTGAGAGCGTCTCTGTTCATAGACACGTAACGTTTCCCTCACATGTCCACCAATGAGCCTCGACAAGCACCGATGGTCTTCAATACTCTGCGACAGCCTCTCTATGGCATGAAGATTCAAAACCTCGCAGAGCCCTAGAGAGTCACCTGACAGGGTTTTTGTTGAGCCTGGTCAGGGCTGGGCGGCGGGAGCCTGCTCACAGGTTGAGGCTCCAGCGCAGGAAACAGAGCTGCAAGAGGCCCAAGGCAGGCCGCTTTTCGCGGCTCAAGAGGCTCTGACCCCTTCCAGACAACGCCCAAGCGCACCCCCCCAGAATGGAGAGTTCATCTCTTCTTTCTTTGCAATTTTGCCGGGGACTGGGGCCATGCGCTAAGGCGTGCTGCCCAACAAGAGGCGTAACAAAACCCACGTGCGCTTTGCGGAATGCCTTTAAAGCTGGGGGAGGCTCAACTTAGGGCTTGTTGTGGCGCGCCGCAAGCACGTGCCCTTCCTATCTGACTCGTTCGCCAATTTGTGTCGCAGCAGGATGCACAAAGGAAAGAATGAAGGGTCACGCGTGCTTGCGCCGTCGCGAGTTGGGGCCTTCGGCGATTCGGAGCCTTGAGAGGTGCAGCTTGAGAGGTGCAGGTTGGACACGCAGAGGCGAGATTTGAAGGTTGAGGGGGTGCCTGCTGAAACACATTCATGGAAGAGGGTCTCGGTCGCACTGACCGCCGCGGATCAAATCCATCCCTCCGCAAAACGCCCGACACTTATAGCAAAAAGTCCCCCCCCACCTGCGTTGGGGGGGACTTCCGTTGCCCAGGCCAGCGCATTCCTGACTGCTTGCCTCGAACGTGCGTGCACTTGGGGTTTGGCATTCAGTCACACGGAGTCCCTTTTCACAATGCCGCGTTTCACACTTGTGCCTTGACACGCCTCCCAAGTATCCTGAGAGCAGTGGACTCCAGGTCCGGGGTAGTGTTGGGCATTCCCGCGCCCCGAAAACCTGCCTAACATTGCCCCCCCCTTCTTTCCGCCAGTAGGAGGGGTGATGCAAGAGTCCTCGGCAACTTGCAGAGCGGACATCTCGAAGATTTCCGTCACCACAGGACTAAACCCTGCATCTGCAAAGTCGCTGTCGAAGATTCCGAGCAAGCCAGGCGAGGGAGTCCTCTTGCATCTCACGATCACCAGCCAACGTCGACTCACGCCGTCACGCCCGAATCAGTGCAAGCTGGGATCTGAACTGCCCAGAGTCACGCTAAGTACCCTTGGCCGGGTTCTCTTGCAGGCCTGTGACGCGTGATTTGGGGCACTTCAGTGTCAGCCTGTGAACCCAGCGAAGGGATGCCCTCGAAGGAAGGAAAGTGCATTCCCCGGCTTTATCTTTGAAAGAGGGGATTTCAGTGCACACTCCTTGCAGATCTTGGGGACAATCAACAGCAAGCGAAAGTTGGAACACACGCCCGGAAGCACTGGCCACTTTCCTGGAAGTTTCAGCTTTGATTTGGCATCCCGCAAGGCGCCCGGCTCGCCCACGCAGCCCTGCACTGAGGCCGCCAGCGGTCCTGGCGGTGGGATTCCTTGTCAGATATGCCTGGGCCCCGCTCGGCCTCCGCTAGGCTGACCTGTGCTTCCCTTCCTTCCCTTCCTTCCCTGCCCCTTCTGTGACCCTAGAACGGAGCCCTTCCCTTCAGGAAGGCTTCGTTGGGACAGCAGCGCGAAGGAGGAAGACGGAGACGGCCGCCGTTTAAGCCATTTCTGATTCTTGCGGGGTTTGGGGAGGAGGGGACTCTTTTTCACTCTTAAAAGAGCTTCCGGAGACAGATCGGGGGCGGCCCCACGCAGGAGGCAGGAGGCAACGGGAGGCTGCTGAAGCCCAAGCAAAAGGTGTAGGTCCAAAGGTGTAGGTCCAGGTCTTCTTTTGCACCGACTGCTCCTTCTGTTGAAAGAGGTTTTGAAGCGAGTCCAAGCTGCCAAGGCGCAGGCGCTCGGAGTCTAGTCAAAGGACCTTTAGTGCATGTTGTACTCAGCACGAGCCGAAGAGCCAGGAAAGAGCCACCGGGCTTCTCCACTCTGGCCAGAGTCACGCTAGACACACTTGGCCGGGTTCTCTTCGAGTACAGACAGCCCGTTGACGTTTTCCCCAGCTTTGAAAGAGGATCCGGCCTTCCCTGCCACGAGGGACATCACAAGATTACCCTGGTCAGCGCCCAACCTTCCTGATAGAATCCAAGTGAACAAAGCGGTTTCCAATCTGCTTAGCAGCTCATTAGCCCCCGCTTGCATGTGTCGAGAAGATCTTCTAGGTGTGCATGTACCGGAAGTCAGTCATACCTCATGTCTTGTAACCCTCTCTCTGCCGTTCGCCTCCTATTCTGGTTTTTCTGCCCGTGTTAGCAGCTTCTGGCCTGCAAGCATGCTGATGCCCGAAGAAATTCTCCAGGCTCCGTGTTGTTTCAATCTGCCCACCTGCAAACTCCGTTCTTCTGCGGAACTGGATGCTTCTTGACAGGCGCAGGTTTCAGGAGTGGTTATTCCCTGCAGAGCTTGGGAAACCCTTGACTTGTACCGTATATACGCTTCACAGGCTCAAAGCTGGCCCACTAGAAGTCCGCAAATCCTGCAGGCCCAAGCAACAGGCCCGTCTGGTCATGACTTCGCTCCCAGAGCATGTAACGACTGGCGACAAATGCGCAGCAAGATAGAGGAGCTGGTGCCTTTGCTGCCCGTGTGGAGCTTGAACATGGAGCTTCTTTTCCTTCGTCTGCTGAAACGGAAGAGCCGCAGAAAGTGCCGAAGACGGTTGAGGCGAGCTGTCCTGCATGCACGACCCTGCGATTGCCTTTGTCAGGGCCCCAGCTTCGAGTGAGTAGGGCGTACTTTCAATCAGAAAACGCGGCTCGGATCGCAGAGCCTCCCTTGAGCCCAATTTCAGCTGGCTCGTCGGCCCTTTCGCATTTTCCCGCGTGGATCCCTTCCAACACAGGCCCTTCATCCAAATGCCACTGCCTTTCATCTCTGGCTGGATCCTTGAACGATGGCTCCAGCTGATAGGCCCGGCATCGTGCCTCTCTGTACATGCTGACTTTAAGAGCTCGGAATCCGCGTCAACGAAGAAGCTTCTTCGCAGTGCTGCCGATTCTAGGATCCCCTGGCTCGAGAGCTTCTCCTTCCACAGTCACGCAGTCTTCCAAACATGGCCAGCATGCACTCGTGCTCAGTCCATAATCCTGAAAAGGAAATGACAGCCTTACCTTACAAGCAAGCCCGTCTGTCGTCCGGTCTGCCTCCATACGTTAGGCCAACGTCGCATACTTCCTTTGCATCTGCAACATGATGATATTGCTTGCTGATTGCCTAATTTCTATGGCCTTGGGCATGCACTTTCCTCCAGCTTCCTCCCATTTTGCCGATCAGCTAGAGCAGGCCATGTGGCAATGCGCTGGCGGCAAGGTTGGAGTCGGACATACTCTCTTCAACTCTGTTCGCTCCTGTATCCCATTGTGGGATTCTGCATGGTGAGGGTTTCGGTTTGCGGATGGGCCCCTTTGTCGGCTATGCTTTGTCGCTGCCCGTAGGACGGGGCAAAGCACCTTTCCGATCGCCTGTTTCCTCTCGGCGCCGCATGCTCATGGATTCCATGACTGTGGCAAGAACTCACCAGATTTTTTTAGGTCTACTGTGACATGCAGCTACAGCCCGCACCTGTCATGCTCAGGTCTTGAGTGCGCGCCATAAGATTGCTTTACATCAGGATTTCCCCATGGTCAGTTGAGCTCGGCATACAGGTGCAGAGTGGGTTACGACGTGGAAGTCGCGTTGCTAGATGACGCTTCCGCCATGGCAGTGCTAATGTGGCAGCAGAGGAGTCTCACTCCTCCCGCGGTTCCTGCGGCTTGCGGTTGGATTTGGACATGCCTACCCATTGTGGGACTCTGCATTCTGCATGGTGAGGGTTTCGGTTTGCGGATGGGGCCCCCTTCGTCGGCCAGTGTGGGCCACTGGTTCCTACATGGGGTGGATTGCGGGGCGAAGTGCCCGCGATGCTCGGGGCCTGAAGGCAGGCATGGGAAGCAGGAGAAACTCAGACTTTAGATGCCGAAAGTTGCACGCATGAGCTTTGGGACAAATCCAGAAACAGCTAAGTCTGACATCTGAACACTTGTAACTTCTCAAAACGACCTGGGCTGTTCCATTTTTCCATCAACCCTCTATCCAAGGTACTCCCAAGTTTCTGCGGGGCTATCAAAAGGCATGCCAGTTTCCGGTCACAGCTGCTCCTTTCTGGCGCCTGGTTTTGCCGGTGGTGATGCTATTTGGCTTCATCCGGCCTCACAAGCTTGTGTTCCTTGGCCAGTTTGCTGTTCGCACAGGAAGGTTGGTGCGGGTACGGTACACCCTGCTGCAACCAGGGTACGGACGCAAACCTGTTCGTAACCCAAAGTGCGTCGTACCGTGCTTGCAGGCAACGCACCTAACGGTTGCGAGCCAGAAGGTCTGTGCAAAGGTCAACAGCAGAGGCACCACGCTGGGATCAGCCCCTCTCTGCGTGGGCCTTTGCATCAAACCCTCAACTTGATGCAGAGCGCACCAGACTTTTCAGGCCCAGGCTGTTTTCACCGAGCACTCGGTCCACCCGCGCCTTTCCATGTGGCGCAAGCTCTGCAAGGATGTTGCTGTTGACCTGAATAGCGTGTCTTTTGGCATCCCCAGTGTCAGCATTAGCTGCGTTAGATTGCCTTGTCCAGAAGCCTCCGCTGCCGAGCACACCGGTGCACATTAAGTTTAAGCCGAAGTGGACAAGCCTTCGATCAGACTTCACACATGCAAGCCACCAGTGCTTTTTGCTTGGGGGTTACAAGGCTTTGACCAGTAGCAGTAAGTGGTTGCGCGCTTTCCGCCAGGGTCGAGTGGCCCACTCCTGGCGTTGGACCTGATGCAGAGTGAGAGGTCACCAGAGTTTTCAGGCCCAGGCTGTTTTCACCAGCGGAACACACGGTCCCACCGTTCCCTCCCCATGCGGCGCAGGCCTGCAGGGATGTTGCTGACCTGAGGGGCATGTTTCTTGCTGTTCCCTGTCATCAGCATCAACCTTCCTGCGTTGTCCAGAAGCTTCCGCTGCCGAGCACGCCGGTGCACAAAGCACTGCCTAATTTAAGTCGCTCTGGACAAGCCCGGGAGCTTTGTGCTTGGGGTCACAAGGCTTTCTATAGACAAGCCATGGATGCCTTTGCATATAGGGCCTCGTACTAAAGTTGGCATGGCCAAGAACCGCTTCAGGACATGCCGCAAAACTTCTGCTTAGAGACTCGAGGCTTTGCTTCAGGCCTTTCAACTCCAAGCCTTTCAGCCTTTCGCCTTGGCGATGATGCAAGCGGGCAAGACGAGGTCGGAACAGAAGCCATGATGCCGCACTAGCCGAGTGCTTGCAGACCGCAGAACCCGTGATCTTTTCGCAGCAAACTGCGCGCTACTTCTGCGGAAGGAGACCGCACGGGTGGTTGCGAAGGCCCAGATGCGGCGACCCAGATCCCAGAAATGGCCGGGTGGAGGCGAGAACATCACAAAGTACATGTAAGAATTGTGTTCCAGGCTAATGGTCTATAGTCCAGGCTTAGGACGCGCAGTAGCAGAGTCGTGGAGTCGTCCGGTACAGGACACAGTTCCTGCGTTTCTTGTGCTGCAGGCATGGGGACATCGCCTGGCGCTGGAGGCACAACTCTTTGTGGTTTTAAAGTCGTTGCGGAGTCGCTGGGAGTATCTGGGTAGCACTGGGCCTTATCCTCCCCAAACTAAGCTCACCCTGCCCGCCAACTCTCCATCCTTTGTGTCACCTCAGAAACACCTCCATAGATGCCGAATCCTATAGAGGGGCTTCTTGCCATCATTGAGCGTGGTTTCGCGTATAGTACGTGTAAGGTACCTGTGAGGAAGTTGCAAGCACTGTCTGCTGCAAGTCTTCAACTAATGAACTAGGTAACTAGCGTTAAACTCCGTTCTGAGAAGTTCTTTTTCAAACCGCGCCTGCCACTTCCGGAAGGAAGGAAGATTGCTACCTTTTAGAAATCCGGCGTTCAATCCTCCAGAATCGGTACAGAAATCCGAATAGACCAAAACTCACAAGTGTTCAGTCTTTCCGACGTATGCGCTGCCTGGCCTGTCGGAGGCGGTCACAAATGAAAATCCGCACAGTGTGCCATTGCATTGTCCACAAGCTGTCCCTGGAACTAACCCCCAGTTCACCTAGATGCCATGTATCCGTTGATGATATAAAGCAATGCTGGGCCCAGCTCTTTTGTTCCTGAAAGTTGCAGCAAAGGGCTATTCCGTAGAGTTTCGTGTTGGATTGGGATATTGATTTGTTCATTCGTGTAGGATGTGTTGTAGCAGGGTATGCGATCTTCATACTGTACCTCAATGAGGAGACGCGTGTGCGCACGGTCCGAAATCTTCTTCGGAAGACAGAGAAAGGTAGAGGATAGACAGATGAACAGACAGACGAAGAGACGGACAGAGATACAGAAAGAGACAGGCCGAGACAGATAGACAGAGACATACAGAGATTGACATAGACAGAGATAGGCTGAGATGGACACACAGACATAGGCCGTTGAAACGATATAGACAAACAGACAGAGACAGGTGTGGGGACCAAGACGTTTCATGCTCGAATTCTGAATCAAACTTTCATGTAAGGCACCCCCCTGCGTCACTGCATGTGACTGCTTGTGCAATCTGTTAGCACCGACAGCACAGCTAGCACATCATTTGTGCTCACCACATCTTTTTGCAGGTTGGCTGCGATGCACATGCCGTGGAGCTGAGCTGTCCGAGGGTACACCGGGGCAGCCTTGAGCAACGCGGACATTAAGACTTTTGGGGGGTCCCTCGGTTTTTTCTGGGGAGAAAGGCCATATACGGAAGGGGCCTCCCGTCCCGAGTCGGCCCTCAACTGGGGCCAACCGGGGTGTTGTGCACTTCGGTTTCCTGAAGGCAGCGCGCAGGCGTAGCAGTCCTCGTTTCTGTCCTGAAGGCCAAAAAAATCAAACAGTGTTTCACCTCAAGGCCGGGTGCGGCCCCAGCAGACCTCGTTCTTTCGCGAAGGCGGAAGAAAGGGGCATAGCAGCCCTCCCGTCCCGAGTCGGCCCTCAACTGGGGCCAAACGGGGTGCTGTGATGTGCAGTCACAGACCTCGGTTTCCTGAAGGCAGTGCGCAGGCGTAGCAGTCCTCGTTTCTGTCCTGAAGGCCGAAAATTGAAAAAGTGTTTCACAGCCACAGACCTCCAGCAGACCTGATTCTTTCGCGAAGGCAGAAGAAAGGGACGATCCCATGCCAGGCAGATGTTATGAACATCCGTGCGCAACCAGTGCTGTAGTGCTTGGGGCACACCGAAGCCTTATAGATGTATGCGAGAATGAACACAGTGTAGGAGCTCCAAGGTATTGCGTGATGGGCTCCAGCGGAGTTTTGTTTGTGCGCACACCTGCCCCCACCTCGACGCCTTTTCTTGCTCTTTTCTCCTCTCTTTCCCCTTGTGCACGCGGGTCGGGCGGCAACAACTTACGTTGGGTGCATCAACCCAACCATCACTATCTTGTTGGGCAGTATTCGTGTCACAAAAAGGCGATGACACGACTTAGACCCCTTGGACGTACATTAATTTGTCCAAACACAATAAGTAGATCTGATTTACTTCAAACTCCGCTTTTGAGGCCATTTCGCGTTCGTTTCGCTCTGGTCTGGACCAGAAAGGATTCAAAATTCAATAAAGGAAGACGGGTGCCGTGGCACTTTCCAGGATTTGGGAGCCGAGGTGCAGACAGCAAGAGAGTTGAATCAAATCCATTACGACTTGGAGCTACAGTGGAAGGCCACCGGTAGGTGGATATTTCTGTTGAGTGCCACACACTTCAGAGTTTCTGTTGCTTGGGGGGGAACAGGGCTATCACAAGGCCGTTGTTAAGATACCGCTAGCCGACCAAGTCACCACCTCCCAGCCCCAAGCCCACCATATAAACTAAAAATTCCAACAACCACCCAACACATACACACTACCCAAATCACACCCCCTGTATTCAAGCAATAACCAAACACAACCCCTCATGCAATCCCAACTTGCAGCCTGGCAGTGACATGCATACATCGTTCCATGGGCGCGGAAAACGGCAAGGGATGCTAATTTTCCACAAGAACGGCTGATGACAAATATGTGGGAGACTTTGTTGCAAGTTCTGTGTGTGAAAAACGCTGTTGTGCTCCGTCAGAGAGTGCAGTGCGGTGCAGCGTGGCTTTAAACAGACCCCTCTCGCCTCCTCAGTGGCTCCAGCGCTCGGCTGTGAGATGGGTCTTGAGCTTATAACTTGTTACATAAATCGCAGGACTGCTGTAGTAGCTGACCGTGTACCCAGCTTTTGAAGGTAGAGTTTCTGAAGAGGTTGGGTGTAACAATGCTGGCCGACCGTCGTTCTTCTAATTACAGGCATTCGTCCGAATTGAATAGCTTCTGCCCGCTTTCCGTCAAAAATGCCACAATTGGCCCATGCAATGGAGCCGTGAGGCGGGCAGCTTTCGTCCGGATCCCATAACGCGGCCCCTGTAGTGGACCATACAGGGACTGTAGCGATCCATTCCGAAAAGGGCGTCGGAAATGTGAGCGAAGGCGGCGGGAGCGCAGTCGTGGCGTCGGGCAGCTTGGGCCTCAAACCGAGTTCCAGCACAAGTCAAGGGGAAGAGGAGGCCGTGTTGCGAATATCATAGGTGCGCCAACTAACCCCCACTGCACAGTACCCCCCCCCCCCCCCTGAGTTCGATGTTTACAGGGGGGGGGGGGGGGGGGGGG